GTGTCAAAAAAGAAGAATCGGGCACCCCCTCTCTTTCTTCTGTTTATTTATTGTTGTTCTTTTTTATATATATTATTATATCATTCTCTTTCAGCAAATTCTCCGCTTCGTATTTTTCTCGCCAAGAATTGCTAAAGGGGGGAGAAGGTAAGAGGGGAAGGAAGCAAATTTTTGTGTGTTATTGTAAGGTTAAATACGTGAGCGTGTATTGGAGTGTGTCGGAAACAAGGGCAGACGATATTAACTCGAAAAATCTAGCTTTTAGCTCGCTTCGAGCACAAAGGGACTAAGTGCTCTTTCTTTCAAAGTTGGATACAAAAACAATATTTTATTGTAAAGGAAACCTTTTAACCATCAATATGTATTGAAATAATTGTGTTTATTTGAATATTTTGCCTTTTTAGTTTAATAAATTTGTAATGTTTTTAATTTGCCAATGAAAAATCGAAAAAAAATCTGTTTTGGATTCGTAGATAAAATAAAAAAGAAAATTTATTAGTACATTCTGTGGAAGTTGTTTTAAACGATTAAAGCTCACGCTTGTTTTGATGTCTCTTAACTGCAATTTTTAAACTAAACTTTTTTCGTTTTATGTGTTTCAACTACAACATTTTAGAATACTTTTATTTACCTGAGTGATTTCGACTTTGGAAGCTAGGCGATATTACTAAATGTCTGTCCCTTTTTACTAAAATTGAATCCTTACGTTAAATAATAAAATTTAAGGAGAAAAATGCGATTTACAATTGATTCAGAAATAATAATTAAACGAAGAATTAAAATAAAAGTTTTTGTATTAATTTAACTCATAACTATGTCCATTTTCTCTTTCTTTTTTTAATACAGAAGAATTTTTTTTTTTTTTTTTTAATTTAGTCAAATTTTAAAATAAAAGTTTTTGTTTTAATTTAACTCAAAACTATGTCCATTTTCTCTTTCTTTTTTTAATACAGAAGAATTTTTTTTTTTTTTTTAANTTTTTTTTTTTTTTTTTTTTTTTTTTTTTTTTTTTTTAATTTAGTCAAATTTTACTAACCTACGTAAATTTGTAGCGCTTTTTCTTTTTTTCATTAAACAGCTTTTTTTCTCCCCAATTCTTTAAATTTTTATTTTGCACCATTATCACTCTTTTATGGTTGCGCCATAGTGATTTTTTTTAAATGGTATTAAAAAGAAGAAAAATGCACCATATAGATTATCCTATGTAGGATTTTTGTATCCCTTTGCTTACGGAGTACTATGCTGTACCATCACGTGTGGTCCACATGTTGTACCAGCCGTGAGCTAGAGGTTGATTTTAATTTGCATCACAATAATTGTTTGATTCATTCAGCACTTTTATTTTGATAACACTAATGTCAATAACGGATATTAATAAAGCACGAAAATATACCTCATTTGGTATATTAATGATTATTAATATAACTCCTAAAATAATAAAAATTTATAACGAAAATTACAAGTTTTTTAATAATGTTTTGAAAAATGCATTCTTCGTGACTATACATCACCCTATGTTTATTTAAGTGTCTTTAAATAATGTTCAGTCGAACAGTAGAGGATAATTTTAGACGTAGCGTGAAAATCTCGTTTTTTATTTCTTTCTCTTATCCATGGACTGTTTGCTGCATTGTAAATGGTAATTAATTATACACGACTAAAATTTCAATTCGTTTTATGAGTATAATCTCTGATTTATATATTTTTTTTTCACCTCTAATTTGAAGAATAGTTGAAAAAGATTTCGAGTCAAATAGAGTAAGGCTTATCATATACGATTCATCACTTAATCTATTGCCCAAAATTTAGTTTTAAATATTCTATCCATAAAAAATTTCAAATAAAATTATAAAGAATAATCATATTATTGTTTTTGAGTCAGTGATTTATTGATTGATAAAGCTCTACCCATTGATTAATATAGCTCTACCTCAAAATTTATGAATCATTATCTTATTAAAATGTACAGTCACGTGAGACTAGTAAAGGATAAAATGTTCTATGAAGAGTATAAAATCACATAAAAAGTGCATCTTGTAAGAAAAGTATGATATAATATGCAAATTAAGCAAGTATCGAAAAAGTATGTCACCACAAGAAAAAACGAATAAAAAGTATGAAACCACACGCATGCTAAGCCAAGTTCTAATAAAGTACGAAATTATATGCATATGAAGCCAATAAATATAAAATCTGAAAAATAATAAATTAAATTTCATGAAAAGTATGATATGTTATGAATATTATGCTCTAATTAACGAAAATATGAAAGTGCCTCAAAGATCATATTACTTCGAAAGAAAGTGTAAAATCGTATGCAACTTCATAATTAATGTGAAACTGTCATAATGTCAACTGCCATAATTAATGTTAAATGCCATAATAACGTTTCATACTTATTATCAGATGCTTAAATATCGCAAACAAGCAAAGAGCTTACTACTTGTAAATAAAGTGTAAAATCACGTGAATCTCATGAAAAATTCTCATAATCTATAACATATGAATCTTAAAAACATATCAATGTTAGTATGAAGTCTTGTAGAGAAAGCATGAAACTGTATGGATATTATGACATCAGTAGGTAGTAGTATGAAGGTAGGTAATTAGTATAAGTAGGCAGTATCATGGTATTATAAAATAAGTAGGTAACCAAAAAGAAGATACAGCTTGCTAAGAAAGAATGAAATATTATGAATTTTATTGATTTTAGTAAGAAAATATAAAATCAGAAGAAAAATGCTACTTAAAAGAAAGGCTTGAAATAATAAGGAAACAATGATTCGATAGCTTTATTCAATATCTAAGTTAAAATTAACGGAATTTGACTTGAATCACTTTCGCTCTGAAATGGCTGACGCAGCTGTATCTAAACCTGTTGTCGATTTTCGCGAAAGCTCTTCGGCCCGGTAAAAAGTTTTGTTATTATTCAAGAGTGATTGATTTTTCTCCGACAAAACTTCTCCCCATTTTCTAAACTTTTCTCCCGCATTATTTTAAACCAAAACGGGTGATTTTTTTTTATTCTTTTCTTTGTTCTCTCTTCTTTTTTCCTTTTATTAATAGGTAACGGAGCGTAAATAATTCTGACTTAATTTCTTACACGGGGTCACTTAACTGTCAAAAGATGAAAATTTTTGATGAAAAGACTTCAACGCTAAGTTTATAGAGATTTATTTTTGCTGATTCATCTTTCTTCGGCATGTGGCGTTTCCTTAAAATTTAAAAATATTTAAATCGTGTTTTCTTTGCAATCGTTTGGAAACTCTTTTCAGTTTTCTTCACTTCAGTTCACAAAACAGTTTTAAGTAAATTTAAAGAAGTATTTTAAACTTTGAATTTCGAATAAATTTCAACTGATAAATATGATGTTACGTAAGTAATGCTTTGCACCTATGAAAATTTTCGCAATTAATTTTAAAATGTTGTATTGTTTATTTCAATATTACTCTATAGTTTATAAAATAATTTAATATTTAGTCAAAAATTTGAGGAACTGTTTTTAGAATACTTATATTGTATTGTTTAAATAATTTTATCGCTCTTTTCAAAAATATTTCAGCAATGTTGTTAAATACCCCAAGGCTATTTTTTACGAACTTGTGTAAAATGCCTATATGATAATATAGGAGTTTTATTATCTGACGAATATACATCTGGTATAATAAGTACTGAATTTAAAAAGAATCTATAAGTTACAGAAATTTGAGAAAAGAACAATTTGTATCGTCTTAATATGGCCCCAGACTATTTTGAATACTGTTGTGAAACTATTTCAACAATGTTACTTGACTGCTATATATTTTATTTATTTGATACATTTTATGTAAAACATTGTTTTAACTGTTATTATTGCTCCTACAATTAAGCAATGCTTTTTCACGCATTCCATGAGTAATGTAAGTTGTAAACTAGTTTTACAATGGAATTCATATTTTTCAGATAACAAAAGTATGCAAGAGCAATCCACAATTATGATTTATTCATTTGATATTTGATAAATTTTGAATAGTTTCTATTTATTTAGTTTAAATACATTACTTAATTCAACAAATAATCAGTAGTTATTTTTCAAAACTTTAAAGATATTAATAACTGACTTTATAATAATCATTTTTAAATATTTAGAGTTCTGAGTTTATATCTTTAACCTTTTAACTAAGTAAGCTGTTCTGACAAATTACAATCAAATTATAAATATACGACTTTTTAAAAGATTTCAGAAACTGTTCGACCGCTTTCGTTTAAATTTTGTATTTTGCCATTTTAAATCACTTTCTTTAAAATTCTTTCAAAATTTTTCGACTAGCATCAAATGAAACATTAAATAATTAAAAATAGTTAAAATTTATTTTTTGCATGGAAATATCTTTGGATAAACGAATTTTATAACTGTGTACAAAATAGTTCAATTGTCTTATAAAGTCGAGTATGATATCGAGACACGCAGAAAGTAAAATTGGCATTTTAGAGCCCTAATCTTTGAAACTCTCTCCTGACCAAACTATTAGGACCATATTCTCCCATATTTTGAGTGTCAAGAATCCGAGCTTGTTTAAAAAAAAAATGGGCATGTTTATTCAAAGAAGTATGTTTTTATGTTTGATCTCGTAGCTTAATATCGGTTGCTCAAATTTATAAGTATAATTAAGGTTATGCCATAGAACTATTAAGATTTAGCTCTAGTACGTGACATAGTAAGTAGTAAAGTAGTAAGTAGTACATAATAAGTTACTCAAGTTGTTCACTTTTTTATTTCGTTCACTGTACAACAATATTTTTAATACTGTTATCTTTCACCATTGGATGACATGTTAAAATAAGTTCATTCTGTGGTAAGGAAAAAAAAGGGTTACAAGCATGTTAAAATAAGTTTATTCTGCGGGTTACAAGTTTAGAAATTAAAGATCTAAAATATGAACGGAATATTATTAGTTTTAAATTTTGTAGATAAGTTCGTGCGGTACTTTATTTGATCATTTTATTTGTTCTCTTTGCAGTCGATTTGGAAGGGATGCCAGAAGATGCCGACGCTGACCAGCACGTAGCCATGCGACCATCCCTTACATCTCCACCTCTTAACACTCCTCTACCTGCCAAGGGTCCCCTGCTTTCCACTTCCTCTAAGAGGGCCCAAACGGAGGACTTGCCCCTCACCAATGGTACATCCGATGACCGTCCTTCCCAAATCAATGGTATCTCGAAAAAGAACCCAGAAGACGAGAAGATACAAGAGTACCTGCAGCGCAGCGACACCGCCGTCATTTATCCGGAGCCCGTAGGTGGTATGAGCCCCAAACAAAGAGAAGATAAACACCAGTCCGGTAGTCCAGAACCCGTGCCTGTAACAGGTATGACATGTAATACTCTACACTCTAGAACCATTATATCCACACCTTGAACCATGATGCGGTGCAAATTTGTTACAATCTTTGTAACGTTTTAAATTGAACCATATTTCAATTCAAATTGAATAGCATCGCGTAATCAAGTTTAATGTGGTCCAATTTACGAGATACTTTAGCGTAGCTTGATAATGCATTAAGGTTGCGGAACATTTATATGATATTATGGTTCTAACGCTTTGAGCCATGATATCGTTTGTATCGTTAACTGTGTTCAACACTTTGAAAGTCATGGTTGTTAAAATATTTTGTTAGGTTACTTTACTTACCTCGCACTAGAGCTGCATAATGGGCTATTGGCGACGGTCTGGGAAACATCCGTGTGGATGATCCGAGTCATTTGATTTCTCGGTCCTCTTGAGATTAGTTAGATTTTCATATCTACTGGTTTGATTTTTTTTAAGTCAAAATGATTATTTGAGGCAAATTAATTGAATTTTTTTTTTCTTTAAGTAACTAGGTCTCCGAATATGATTGTTTGAATCAAATACCATCCCCCCAATGAATGGTAGTTAACAATTTCATCATCCAATTCAAAATAAGTTGGTTCATTTGCCCTCTTCAAATGAGAAAGATTTCGGGATTTACTCGCTAGATTACTACAACAAACGGCTTTCTTCCCGCTTTGTTCAGTTAGATTTCATAATATGGTAGTTCAACGAAAAATATATTGATTCCTTTAGTTTTTCAGATAAATGAAGAAACGAAATGTCAGAATCTGATCGTTTCGTATTTTTTTCTTTTTCTTTTTGGATGAGTTAGGTCACCTTTAAGTTCAAATTTATTTGATTTTTTTCCCTTTTGCTCTAATTAGATAGATTTTCTTTCTTTAGAATCAACTCGTTCTACAGAGTTTGTCTATTTAACGCAAAATATATTAAGTGTATTTTTATTTATTTATTTATTTATTATTTTTTTTTCTCTTTCGATAGAGCAGGTATCAAAATGTAACAGTTTGTTTCTAACAGCAGGATTTAGAGATTCCATTTTTCTAAATTTCTCTTTAAGAAATATGTATTTTTGCACATTTATCTCTGCTAGGCTTCATATGGTTACCAACTAAATTGTTAAGCTCTCGTTTTTTGACCTGAAATTTAAAATTCCAACTGTAAATTTCAAATACAGAGACTTCTTAACAACATTCCGTTACATTTAATCTATGATATAATCTGCAAATATTTGTATAATTTCGATGTTAAGATTAATAATTTGTGATTTCTGAAGAAATACAGTAAAAATTGATACAAAGCATTTCTGCCAACTTGGCGGGAGGTTTTTCCAAAAATTCATATCGAATGACAGAGAAACCTGATTATGACGATGTCTTTCCCGTGGTTTCCCTAATCAAAAACCCCCCGTTGCCAAAACAATATTGGCGTAGAAAACCTCCTGCCTTTTTATTAATTAAACATACATGTTAAATGACGTCTCTTTGTCGAATTGAAAAAAAGATCATTATAGCCAAAAGAACAAAGAAAACACGCTTCATTACCAAGAAGGTTTAATAGTCTTTTTTAAAAATAAAGGTAGCCTGTAACCGTCGGAATTCCCAACTAGAAATTAATAAACTAAAAATCATCACTGGTGATTATCGTTTTCTTTTTGAGAAAAATAATGAATAAATGACATTTAATTGTGCAACATATTTTTCAATCAAAGTAGGATATTAAAATCAATTATGCAAATGTAATTACGAATAGTTTTTCCCGTTTTTAGATAATTTTTTCCATCCGTGCTTTTGGCAAATGGCTCATTAAAAACTACTCCAACTGGGGGATTACACCGATTTTCTTTAATTTTTTTTGATGTTCTAAATGATTTTGTTTTTCGTCCAGAATTAATGAGATTAACAGAGAAGATATATTTATTAATTTTTCTTCTCCAATGCCCATCCTAGCGCGAAGTTGACCGCAACACTGTTTTTAGAAGAGGGGGGTGGGGTGCAGAAAAGAATTGCTTGACTGCATTTGTTGTCCAAATGATAACTCCAGCGTGGTAAATGAATTATTATTCTGACGTTAAAAACGTTTTGAGAAAAAGGGAAAAAATATCGATGATAAAATAGGTTCGCTTTTTATCATCGGTATCGTTATTAGTTGCTGATAACTGTAAAAGTAAATAGGTTTGGCTGGCAATCGAGTTTACGATCTTCAATTGAAAAAAAAAAAAAAAACGAGTTAATTCTAGCTTGTTAAGGGTTATTTATCAGTAAGCGAATGAATATTTATATTTCCTTTCTTTTTTTTTTAATTTTTAAATCAAAATTATTCCTGTTTTTTTTTAAAAAAAAATTAATAATAATATTTAGTTTCATTTAATAAGTTTTTTTATTTGTTGTTTTTAAAACATTTAAGGGTTTTAGAAATTGGTTTGTATGTATTTCTAATTTATTTCATTATGCTGTCGTAAATGTTTCTTTTTTAATGGTCTTAATTTGATGGAACATTTATAAATAAGTATTAAGTTTTTAAAGTCAGAAATGCAAGAGAACAATTTAATGAAGAATTTCTGGTAAACATCTTTTGAGATCGAGATAATAATAATTAAATTAATATCTATGCTAAGTTGTATTTGTTTTCTAAATTCGAGACTTAATAAATTTTACAACTAAGAAACGAATATACCTTTGTTGCATTAGCCATTATAAATAATCTGTGATTGCTTTACTTGTAGGGTTTAAAAATATAATTTTTGATTAAATATAAATGGAATAAATAATTTTGTTCGTTGTAAAAAAGCTATTAACTATACTACAATGACTTATTTCTCGTATTAAAGCTAACTCGAATATTTTTAATTTACATACAAATTAAAACCATTTTAAAAATACATATGTGTATATTATTACTTAAACGAGTTTAGCAATGAATTTATATAGAAACTTAAGTATTTTTTATCAATGCGTAAAGTTAAAATTTTTAGTTTAAATTATTTAAATTTTATAATATTTTATTTTATAACCGTCGTTGAACAACCGACCCAATTTTGAGTTTACGGTTACTAATGTCTAACTCCGTAGCCTTGTAATTTTGAACCCAATCCAGTATCACGTATTGGGGAAATTTTTGCCTTCGTGGAGGACTTTTTGATGGAAATAACACGCATTTGGTTTACATGGAGAGGAAAACCCCGAAAATGTCAGGAGGGTAGCCTGATATGCAAGAGGAATTTAACCCATGATCCGCCTACCAATGAAGATATTTTACATCAGCACTGTGGTCGGTGCTTGCCGGGTGCGGAAATCGTATCGACCAGCCATCGCTGAGATTCGAACCCGGTTCACCTCATTGGAATGTGAACGCTCTATCCCTTGAGCCACGAAGGCTCAGGGGGTAGAGTGTTTTTTTTTTTCCTTTTATTTTCCTCGGAAAACAGAGATGCCATAAAATGACGATTAAGCGCTCCTAAAATATTGATAAAAATCGCCAATTTATAGGATGGGGCGGACATCGATAAGAGATTTAAAAGAAGGAAAAAAATTGATTATATTTGATAAGTATTACTGAATTTAATTATACTAATCAGTATTAATTAACTAAGTTAGCCTTTTTATTCTCCTATACATGTAATACTTAATAATAATACTTAACGCTTCTGAATTGCATTTAAAATGAAAGTGTTGGCGCAGATATTGACTTAATAATACATTGTTACATTTTCACTTATATACAATCGAAAAAATAAATATTCGGCATCTAAAATATCATTTGGGCATGCATTTTGTAGACCCTGGAATGTTCGATCCCTGGAATGTATCTTTATTATCACATAATTCGTAGATAACTTTTCCCATTGTTCTAATATTAAATAGAGTTAAAAATGTTATATTGATTAAAATATGGAACATATATATCAAAATGCGATTTATCATTAGAAAGACATAACTTCAAATGTTGGCGTAAAAACTGCTTCAAGGTTTATGTGACGTTATTTATATTTTGCAACCAAATTCTTTTATAGATCTGCAATTTTTTGTTCTAGAAATTATTTGTACCAAAAATCTAATTTGAAATCAGAAAAGAACAAACTCGTCACATTACCGCTGATTCTCATTTTCTTTCAATGAAGATGCTTTAATGAAAGCCAAAATAAATGAACGCGCATGAAGGAGTTCGTTTCGCGCCAAAGTTTTAATTAAGAAGCAATTACCCGCCATTTAACGAGCTTCAGGTTGCGAAACAATAAAAACAAACAAATGTGAAACTGCGAGAGGCAAACGAAGAATCTTTAAAAGTCAAAGCCACGAAAATTTAATTTACGCTCCCCCCTCCCCCTTTTCTCCTAACACAGACCGCTCAATTCACCACAAAATCCATACGATGAAAATATTTTTACGTGCATTTTTGTGTTCCCGGAACGCGCTGAAAACAATATATGCAAATTTTTCCAGAAACTCTGAGCCTCGGTTTCTGCCGACTGAATAGAGACGTAGGTATGGCCATCAGGTATTCGCGGGACATACCTTTCTCGACCGATCCCCCCCCCCCTTCAACAAAGCATCTCTGAATACCTTCCCAAGGCCACCCCCCTCTCCCACCTATTAATGCGCACGGTTACGTACAAAGGTATTTCCCGTTTAAATTAAACTATACGCTAATTAACTTAGATTCGTACATTCCGGTGGTGAATACGGGAGCGAACGTTTCTAGGGTTCGGAGAGGGGGGGAGTCAAACTCCAGGGAAAGGGGGTTGCAGCAGATATTTTACCTCCTCTACAATTTTGTATTGTTTCCCGGAATAGTGCGAGGGGCCAACTCAATAATTTTCATTCAGAGGGAGTTTTAGAAATGTACATGCGGCAATAAACGAAAGCGGAGCAGGAGGGAAAAAAAAACAATTCGGGAAAATTCTCCAGTTTTAGCTATGCCCACATAGCAAAATGGGCTAGAGAAGAAGGAGGATGAAATAAGTGTATTCTGGAAGTTTAAGAGTTGTGTATAAAGAAT